GTCGTCGATGAATAGAATGTAGTAGTGATTGCCATAAGAGGGGTGTTGTGATGGCCCACAGATAACAGTGTGAACTAGTTCAAAATGCTCAGATATGATTTTATTGCTAGTTTGAAAGGGAAGGGCCAAGTGTTTTGCTAACTTGCAGTCAGTACAATAGGACGACACGTCAATGGAGAAAGTGCCTAGTGTACCGGTAGTTGAGAAGATGTGAAGGCGAGGTAGGGTTAGGTGCTCGAGGTAACAGTGTTATAGATCATTGGTAATTGGTTTGGAGTTGAGAAGATTAATGACAGTAGTAGTGTGAGTAGGGAGGATGAGCTTGTCCATGTAGTAGAGACGGTTGATATTATGGCCAGTCCCAACCATTTGCCCTGTTTGTAATTTTTGTATAACATAAGGTGAAGCAATGAATGTGACTGTATAGTTGTGAGATATAATTTGTGAAATAGAGAATAGGTTCATTGTAACACTGGGAATATGGGCATAAGGGACTGAGAAGTGAGAGGGGATGTGTAGGTTACCAACACTTGTCATGGGTAGGAGTGTGCCACTATTTGTGCGAACTTGATGGTAGGGCAAAGGGGCACGGGATTTGTTAGGTGTGTGGGTGATGATGTTAAATGATGTGTGACCCAAATCTACAAGTCAAGAGTTACTATGTATATCTAAATGGGTGGCATATGAGGTAGTAGTCAAACCTACTGTGAGGGATGTCTATGCAGTAGATTGGCATGGGATGGTGGTACTATGAAGACATTTCTGTTTAGCGGTCTCGGTGGTCGCCTCCTGTAGTGGTGCAGGAGGGAGTTGAGTAGGGGATATTGCAATCAGTCTTGCACTTTTATGGTGAATGTCCCCTTGCCTGGTGAAAGTCACACCACTTCTTTCTTGAAGGCAAATGTTCAGACTACTGCTGTCTAGTTGGAGGAGGTTGTGGTTGAGGTTGTTGTGCTAGTTAGTGTGATGAACTGCATTTAGGTGATGATTAGGAGGCGTTATGAAAAGAACCAGGGTCGGTGCAGAATGTAGTCAACTAGAGACGTCCTCTTCATCTTGTAGTTTGGCTACAGCTGTCTGCATAGTAGATTGAGAGGACCGATGGATGAGTTGACCATGAAGTACTAACAGATTCAAACTCTGGTTAGATCTTCATCAGAAACTAGAACAAGCGCTATCAATCTTTGCTATTGTGGTAGATGGTTGTTGAAGGTGGGCGGGGTAGAAGGGTTTCGAGACTGGGGAACTGCTCCAAGAGCTCGAAGATGAAGTATAGAACTTGCGGATTGAGTGATAGCATTGTATGGCTGTCGAGACTTTTTGATAGAGCAGGAACTCATGACTCATGAGCATCATCTAATTAGGTTTAGAAGCGCTGCTGAGTTGAACTGTTCTAGTTGGAGACACATGGACGGGGAGACTGACTGAATGATCGCCGCGATTGTGCGATCTTCGGTGATAGTCCAGGTCGTTAGAGTTGACTCATAAGAGGCAAGGGCTATAGCATCTTTGGTGGCATTTCCTATTTTAGGTGGTAGGATGGGGACTTTTATGGTGCTGTTGATATGTCTCAAACATCGCGATTGCGAAGGACACTGCGTAGGGTGTAGGACCAAACATGGTAGTTTTCACCATCAAGCTTGGATGTCAATGGCATGTTAGTGGAGATGCATTTCCTGTGTTGTCATAGTGGTAGTAAGATGAAATTGATTAGGTGGATAGGTGAAATTGATTAGGTGGATAGGTGTATACCTGAGGTGTAGCATGTGTCAAAAGATTGATGGCAGAGCAGAGGGCAGAGTGGAGTTGAGGGCTGATCGAATGTCAGCGCTGGTGGTGCTGAATGGTGGTCAAGGACGGAGCTGAATGACAATCGAGGACTAGAAACGATCAGCGCTAGTTTTGGTGCCTCGTGATTACTGTTGCAGGATAGCCTCTCGTGAGGCTGGTGGAACCCACAGTTGCAACTGCGGGAGAGCCTCGTGAGGCTGAGTTGCATGAGCACTTTGGGCCTTGCATGTGGCTGAGTAGTGTGAGAGACTGCAGGAGGCCCGCATACGCAACTAAGTGAGATCATCATGTGATGCTGAATCGTGTGAACAACTTGTGCCTCACGTGAGGCTAAGTTCCATGAACTATTTGGGCAGGAACCTCATGATGCGAGATTGGCGAGGTGTCGTTTGTGCGAGAATGGTTAGGATTTGAGAGGAATACAAGTATACATATTAACAACATTTAACAACCGAAGCACGTAAATCCCCGTCTTCGTTCGATTTAATTTTTCTACAATATACTATTTTTTAAATTTTTCCTTTGGCTTTGTCTTCTTGTGTGGTTCCCTCTTGCAGATCGTTCACCATCATCAACGGAGTAGATCTATCTAGGAGATCAATGTATGCGTTCACACTGATTCTCAAACAGTCGTGCATGCACTTCCCAATACACTTTCTTACTTGTGATCGTTTCCATCATGGGAGTGCCTTATGAATGACATTAAATCTGGGACACCCTTGCTTTGAATTCCTGATGTAATTGAGTAATGGAAGATTTTCCCCACATATTTGGCTCGTCATCATGTACAGTCAGTATTTGGTCACCTACTATATCTAAGTCAGTCAGGTTATCAAGCACCATATTAATATACATATAACATCAATCTTTCTTTGTTTAGGTAACTGCATACAGGTACACGCTAGGAAACACACGCACATGGAAGGAGGGAGGGCTCAGCCTATCTGATGACTGCCATCATGCATCTCTAGCAAACTATCACCATAAGATAGTATCGTTCTCATATGTCCAACATATGTAGTATGTAGTATACTTATTGGTGATGTATGATTCAGTGTTGTGTATAACATGCTAGGTAGCACGGATACGGTTGCAGACACGGACACAAAAACACGGTTATGGACATGGGACATGCCAAGTTTATAAAATGTAGGATACGTGGACACGTCTATACGCACACATATTAGATTATTGAATTAAAATATCTATAATAGTTGTAAGTTTCTTTCTATTTAAAATAGGTATAATAGTTGTAAGTTTCTTTCTATTATCTATACTAATTGGGAATCAAGTTAAATCATACTAAGAATAAGTTTTTAACAAAAAAAAGTTTAGTTTTGATATCATGGGATAATGCGATGGGTATTCTTCAAACTAAGTAATGGGTTTTCAATTTTCGAGCTAAAAAACCGATTGGTTTTGAACCCAATATTACCAAAGAAACTAGTTTAGAGTGTAACTAATAGGGAAATTGGGTTTTGATTTGAGCCACACGTGTGCATGGAGTGGCCGCGGACAGTCGTGTCAGACACGTGTTGAACGTGGATATGGCATCCAAAATGCTGTGTCCCGAGTAACCTAAATAACCTGTAATGTGTCATGTGAAACTAATCTTCTGGCAATATAGAGAATAATTATGTGGGGGTATGGTAGACAATAATATCAAAAGTATATGCGGGTTGTTGTCCAGTCACAAAACAAACTGTATTCAGTTTGGTATAAAAATCTTTAGAGGTAAAATCCTTATTATCATGATCTAGAGCTCGCAAACAGCTTTTCCATAGACTCCTAGATCACCCTTTGGTGTCATCAGGGTCAAAAAGCTATGAGCATTAGAGGCTCTGGGGGCCAAATGGAAAATCTGCGCAGTGTATTTGGAAGGCCGGCTGAGCACTCCACTGTATTTGGTGTCTGTCGGTCAGAATGTTATTAATATCATTTGACATTCTCACCTGTAATCCAACAGTGTTAATTGTCTCCTAAAAGATTCAGGGTACTGTTTGGGCAAGTCAGATTTGGGTGAAATTTTTGGGGTACCAAAGTGAAATTAACCCTTACAATTTATTAATATTAAGTTATTAAAAGTGTTTCTATATTTGGTCTAGTGCAAACTATTAGTGTCAGACCTTCAGCATTTTGTTGCAATGACAAGGAATTTATCTAACTCATTCAGAAAAGGCGAGATACAATGTTAACAAGATAATTTAATTATACACCTTACTGTTTGTCCTAAAGTTTTTCTATATTATACATTTATTTTTGGTATGGTACATATGACTGTAACTTAAACTGAGTATTTTCTATATAGGATCATTTCCAAACTTACTGTAATGTCTCAAGTATATTAGGCCATCCCCAAAGATTGCAAATGTTGGCAGGTTCCTAGTAGCATCTTGCAGTAGATCTTCCATCGATGAAGTTATCCTGAGTTTGTTATTAAATTTGTGTGCCTCTTTTAACTGCAGAAGTATTAAGAAATTTGAGAAGAGACAGCACACTCAGTCAAATTCACTTATTAACTATAATGCCTCATATGGAATAGTTTTAATCTATGATAAAGGAATAATTCACTTCTATTCTACATTATCTATATTCAACTCTGAACTTTCCATTTTGAATTTATGCCAGTAACTGCTGGATAAAAGAAAACCTACATCATATTAAGTAGGGAGGAGGGGTCTGAGGGGGAAGGGATCATTGATGTGTGTTTGGTGCTCGTATTTTGCAGAATGCAAAACAATGATCTCAATTAGTGAATTGATGGCCATCATAGTAAGTGAGGCCATTATTTCATCTTTTTCTTCTAGTATGAGATTTTTTTCTTCTTATAACCAGTATGAGCATGCATAGAGATTTTGCTTCATAATTAATAATAACTAACCTTCCTTCAATTTGTAATCACTAATTTTGTAGAGTGGATCTTTGCTGTCCAAATCGTGTTTCTAATCCTAATGTGTTAGTATTTGGCAAGTATTGCTTTATTAGATGTCTGAATTCTGAAATTTCATCCCAGATTTGATATATTTATGCATAAAACAAATCCTTAGATTGATACCTTTATTTTCTGAATGAGTAGGTGGATTGATATTTGATGGGTAATGAATGAGTTCCATGAGCGGAACTTGTTCCAACTTTTTGACCAGTTTTCTATGATTGGTTTTACATTGAATATCATGTAGTGCAAGTCTAACATAATTTTAACTTTGCAGTTGGAGAAAGAAGCCATTACAAAAGGTGTCCCTCTTGGACAGGCTCATGACATAGAAATCCCTCCTCCAAGACCTAAAAGGAAGCCAAGTAGTCCATATCCTCGAAAAACCGGTGGAGGTTCTCTCTCTTCATCCGGGGAAGCAACAGAGGAGAAATCATTGAAATCTCTTCCTCCTTTGATAACCTGTAAACAAGCTGGAGATGTTGCAAACAATGCAGGTTGGAAGGTATATAATTTGTCTTCTAGGACCTTGCCATCCACTGAATTTTTTTCCCTTTCTTTCAATATCTTTCTTCTGTGGGTTTAACCCCCATGGTTTGATCAGATACAAGGAGAGAAAGACAATTCTGAAGAAGGCAGCTGCTCAGAAGTTCTCAACCTTTTCCAAGATACTCCTGCTGCTTCCATCTCTTCACTGAGCAACGGGTCTTCGAACCTCTGTGCCTACAACAGACTCATGCCCCTCGAGAAAGGAATGAAAGACAAGACCATGTTAAAAGGGTCTTCGATGTCCATTGAGGTGAATGAAAATAGGAAAGAAAATAGCTCAGTCAGTGCAAATCGCAGCAGTGCAGAACTTAAAGGAACTTACGTAAGCTTAGAGATGAAATCTGCACAGGAAGAGGGAGTAGACGTATCTAAGCAGCCAGACAACATGGATTTAGCGACTGACAATCTGCAAGGTAATAAAGATATTGATTTCATGAAGAGAAGTGGAAGTGGAAATCTGCCTACAGCTATTACTGGGCAAGGTAGCACTAATGTAAATGCAGAAACATCCCTGAATCCTACAATTCCTTCAACACCTGAGATCAATACCAACTCTGGAACATCTTCTGTTAGTCATCCCTTCCCTTCTTTCCCACCATTCACCCAATTTCCTAGCAATCCAGATGCTTATCGTCCAGTCCACAACATTTCAACTGCTTTCTCAAGCCTCATATTGTCTACTCTGTTACAGCATCCAGCAGTTCATGCAGCAGCTTGTGTGGCAGCATCATTCTGGCCAATTGCAGGTCTAAATGCTTCAATGGACTCATCATCAGAAACTGGCCATGGTGGACTTCCTGCAAGACATATAAACCACACTCCTAGCATGGCTGCCATTGCCGCTGCAACTGTTGCAGCTGCATCTGCTTGGTGGGCTACTCAGGGATTACTGCCAATGTATCCCCATATTCACCCTGGATTCACTTCCCCCCCCCCAGCCACAAGCACCGTTCCAATAGTGGATCCATCTCGAACACCAGATGGTAGGAAAGATGAGAAATTTGGCACATTCGAAAATTCTGTAAATATGGATCCAGAACAATCTGAGGCCAATAAAGCTCAACATCCATCTCCGAAATCATTGTCTTCTTCATCTTCAGACTCGGATGAGAGCAGAAGAAGTGAACTTGATGGTGCTCAAGCCAACAAGTTCAAATCCCTATCTAGTAATGGCGTTCATGATAGTGACAAGGCGAGGAATAAGAAGGCTGATCGTTCTTCCTGTGGCTCAAATACACCTTCCAGCAGCGAACTAGAAGGAGATATGGTATTGAAAAAACATGATGGAGATAAAGATGAACCTAAACAAACTTTCAATCCTCCTTCAGGAGATGCTAACAATCGCCGAATTAGAAGTGGAGGGAACATGAATGAATCATGGAAGGAAGTCTCTGAAGAGGTTATCAATCTCACAAACTAGAGTTAAAAATTTTTTAGCACTCATTGCGTATCTTCTAATATTCTACTATTTTGTTAGGGACGTCTCGCTTTCCAAGCTTTGTTTAATAGAGAGGTGCTGCCTCAGAGCTTTTCGCAGCCATATGGTGATTCGATGATAATGACAGCTAACAGCAAAGAAGCCATCGATGAATTACCAGTTGATCTTAATGTGAAGGCATCCAGTGAACCAACATATATTTATTATTTCCAGGGATCTGGGAATACCTTTGGAGAAGCTCCCTTAACCAATGAAATCATTCATGGGAAGCTGAAAGCTCGTAGGACAGGGTTTAAGCCTTATAAGAGATGTTCAATGGAAGCCAAGGAGAGCAGGGCAACAGCGGGTGATGAAACTGGTAACAAAAGAATTCGGCTGGAAGGAGAAGCTTCAATTTGATGGTATGAAATCCCTTGTTGTTCCTGATAAATGAAAGTAAAATATTTCAAGAGTTAGTATGTGTGGAACTTGTCGTGTGTTAGGACCTGGGACACTTAAATTTATGTGGTGTCTTATTAATCATTGTTTTAATAATGGTTATGTATCTGAGCAGCCATTATAGCAGGACTGCTAATAAGCTGACATTTCTGTCTATAGGCTAAGGGGAAGTAATTTCGTTTGGCTTGCTAATGTTTATGGAATCATGTCTAGAGATAGTTATTTTCAAGTTAATATCAAGCTTTAATCATGTTCATGCACACATATATGTGACGAGAGAGAGCGCTGGTTTTCGTTTCTGTTGTGTTAAAATTTGAAAACAAAAATCAACTTCTATATAATGTGTACACCTTCGGTTTAAGAAAATTCTTTTTCCATAGAGGATAGCCCTGTAACTTCTGTTAATAGGGCATAGAACCCTAGTTGCTTGGCATCAAGTAAATAAAATTAGAAAGGAAAGGGTGTTTGGCAATTGGGAGCTTGGTTGATTGGAATATGGCTGCATGTAAAAGCGTTTGGAACTTTAGCTCATAAGAAGGAAAGCCTATTGGTGAAGTGGGTGCATATTTTAACTATTAGAGATGATTACAGGGAAGCTTTTGTTGTCGAGAATGAAGTCTCCAGATGAAAAATTTACTCACTCTATGGAGTCTTTTCTGTTTACAGTGCATTTGAGTTTTTCTCTGAACATACTGATGAATTTAGTTGGTTTCAAACAGTTTGGGAAAGAATAAGAACAAAGGAGTGGTCCGAGTGGATGATTAACATTGGTATATAGCCAGATAGTAGACGTGGTCTTTGTGCTATGGAGATGAAAACAGCGATTATATGTCCTTTTCAATGTGCATATTCCTAGATGTCCTTTGATTGCTTGGTTAGTGGCGTTGGACAGAATTAGAACAAAGGAGTGGATGAACAGAATTAGAACAAAGGAGCGGAAGATGAACATGGGTATACAGCAAGAAAGTAGATGCGTTTTTTGTGCTAATGGAGGTGAAAACAATGATCATTTGTTCATTTCAATGTGCTTACTGTCAAGAGGGCCTTACTACTATCCTTCAGGAGAAGAAGTAAAGAGCTCCTATGTAGGCAATAAAAATTACCTTTAAATCCTTATCAGAGAAGTTCAGAACAAAACTGCTAAAACCTCGCCCGAAATAGCAAAAAGGGAGAAAACACAGATAAAAAGGGGAAAGCGCAGATATCTCCCAAACCGTAAGGAATTTGGCGAAACGGAGGAAGCGAACCAAAGCCTTGGGCTTGGTTCGGATGGCCCCATCTCGTCGAGATAGGCGATTTTCATATATAATTCGTCCAATTCCGACTTACGGTTTGAAAGTTACGACCTATTCTTCGATCCATGCTCAAGAACTCGTCTGCAGCTCGAATTTCACCTGCACGATTAAGACCCAAGTCTGCCTGCACACCTGAGCTCGCCTGCAGACCCCAGTCGCCTGCAAGCT